TCTATTCATTTAGTTGAAATTTTCAGGCAATTTATAAAATCCTACTTGAATAATTTATAATAATATCGAGAATGGACGATTGATAAGTGCCTAAAAAGTACTCTCAAACTATACAAGAAATATAAATTAGTTAATAATTGAGATTATTAAAAGAGTAGGTTAATTTGCATATGAAAATCTTTTTGAAGAAAGTAATTTATGATATAATTCTTAAGATATATCTTTGTTTAACAGCATTCTATCCATTAAATGACCGACCATATAGATTGTTGATTACATGATACGATCATCATTATAATATTTTGTTATGAGCGAAATTTTTCTTGACAGATATTAAATATTAATTAATTGATGTCCAGAGATGTTCATTCATTTGTCTTCATATTGTTTTTAACCATTGCTTTCAGTTATATTTTTTTTTGCTAAATTACATATGAAATTTTTTACACGTCTTGTCTATTTCTACATTTACATGGAAATGATTGAGTGGACATGTTACTATTACTGGTCATTGGTCATCTCATTTGGATTACCTTTTTTTTTAAATTGAAAAGACGTGAAATTACCGTAATCTGTGGAATTTTTTTGTGGGTTCGGCGTCACACATCAGATCAACCATTCGTTCTTTTCAGTCAAACAAATCTCTCACACAGCTCTCACCTGGCTGGTTGTTGTTTGAATGAAATGAATGTGCAATGTGCATGTGCATGTATATGTATGTGCAAGTGCAAGTACAAATATGGTCGCATGTGGGAGTGCGAATGCAAGTTTGATTATGTATGCGAATGTGTTGATGCATTCAGTGTTCAGAAAAGAGACTTCTCTAACTGTCTTCCTGCTATTTATACCTTTTACCTGACAAATTACTTTTCTTAGGTTGATTTGTTTGTCATCTCTTCTCATTCACTTTTTTCTCTGTTCGTTTCTTTATACACGAAGAGTTTGGTAAAGAGAGGAGGAAGAGATAACTGATAGCATAGCATTACTGTGTCCAACTCGCAATATATGAGTACGGTCGTCTGTCATCCCAATGGTGTCACCCAATCTTCTTATTACAGACAGACAGACAAACAGACAGAGACACATCCTCGTCATCTCAACTACAAAATGTTTCTTGGACTTCTTTTTTACCTTGTCTCTTTTTTTTTGTTTGAATTCTTTTTTCTATGCCGCATATAATTAATTATTGTTGAATGACCGTTGCTTACATGAAACCATAGGTCACGTCGATTTCATGCAAGAGGGGAATGTTCCAAAATTATCTTCTCTTCAAGTATCATTCTCCTGTCAATGAAGTTGGCGATAAATCACAATATTAACTAACTCATCAGCAAATGAGAATAACTAAAAAACAAGCCATTGAGTGATCAGAAAGATCTGATAGACAGATATGTGATGAGTTATCAAAGGATAAATATTCCATTGATAATCAAATTTCATGTTTATTTCATTCGATCAATCTACCAGTAGGTGCATTTTAAGAAATGTAATCATCAGGTCTGATAAAACTTATCTAGCAATATTATAGTTTAAAAGTAATAATTTATCAAATAATATTTTAAACAATGGAATAATAATAAGCTAGTGATAAATATAAATAACAAGTAAACAAGTAATTAATCGATCATACAACAGTTCAAGAAAATGATTTATCATTGATGACAGTTGTATATTTCATTTTATTGCGAACGAATAAGAATGATGGCATTATTACGTTACTTTTTTGAGTCACACATTAAAAATATATGTATATATATATTCATTCTCAAAAATTTCATCTTCAAGGTCTTTTTTCATTGATATGAATATATAGAGTAATTTGATGTGAAGAATGAAGATAATATAATGATAGGTCAAATTTTGCTATATTACTAATTATCTTCTTTTCACATATTATTATTATTATTGACAAATTTTTTTAATAGTAAAAAATAATTCCATTTTATGAATATTAATTTGTTACCAATTTTTTTTGCAATGATAATTAATTAAATTAATGAGAGGTATTGTTTTAAAATAAAATAAGTTTATCCGAAATTATTCCTAATTTTATTGATTTTTTTGTAAAAAAATTTATCTAAAAAAGTTTTAATAAATAATAAGTTTAAATAGTAAAATTATTGATTGGTAATTTTAATTAGTTAATCTTAATTACCATTATTTTAATTATAGCACTGCATTCTTCCTTCATTGCTTATTCATTTTTTATTAAAAAAGAAATTTAAAAACTGCTTAATTATTTTGAATATAAAAATAACAAGAGCCAATTAGATTTTTTGCCTCAATCATTCATTTCAATGAACCAAAACATCTTTGATTACAGTTATAGCCAGCTTAACTATTTGATGAATTTCTATTCCATATAATCATTACCCTACAGATATTCCAGCAATAATCGTTACTATTCATTTATAATTCTTAGATTGTAGTTTATAGAATGATATAACTATAAAAATTTCAGTAACAATATTTCAGTGAATTCATTTATAGTAAAATTTATTTAATAGGTTACAATTATAGTAAGCATAGAGTTCTTCTGGATTACACCTTCATTTTGGCTTAAATTTTAAATGTGATGAAAGTGAATGATTAATGTACATTTGTCACAACCGGATGACATTTATCAAAGAATTCAGTGATAGCAGTGATATAATACAGACAAGAGACATTCTTCTCAACTGCAATATTGCAATGTATATATATGTGCTTTGATCAAGCAATTACTAATGAACGTTGTAATGAAAGCGCTTTTTAAGCAAACATTATCGCACCGATCAAAAGCACATCAATATTTAAAAGAGTTTAGAATAGAGAAAGCTGATGATTTTTGATAACGATTTATGAATCATTCCTAGATTTAAATCAATAAAATTACAATTTTTTATTAAATTTGATCATATTGAATTTATTGATTGATTCAGATTGTATGATTGAATTTTTGTAGAAATTTCAACTGATAATAGATAGTATATTATTTATGGATATATTTTTCACATTTAATTATTGAAAATATGATAAGAAAAATGTGATAATATGATAAGAATCAATACTGAACTTAGTGAAATGATAATTATGTATTTGAATATTTATTGGTAAAAAATAAAATTAGTGAAGAAACTGATAATGTGATAACACATGTAGCTTCAATTGATTTTTCCGGCAATTTTTCTTTAACTTCAAATATATCATTTTTTTCAGTAAAATATTTTACGATATTTTAAGGATAATTTTTGTTTATATTTTTTCATTCCCAATTATATACAAAATATACTATTATTGTTTCTTTTTATTAGGCGCAATTAATTAAATGTTTTTTTAGCACTTTAATTGATTGAATCATTATTATATATTTAAATTTATATTATAATTAATAGAGGGAGAAAATTACGAAGAAATAGATGTTAACAAATGGAAGGGATAGGAGAGGATGAGGATTCGGGGCAGTCGTCTTGTCAGTTTAAGTTTATTAGTAATCTAAAAGAGTAGTTAGCTTCTCCTGAAAAGCTTTGTTCATCCTGAACGGGATGTTTATGTTATAAGAGTCGAGTAATGAGAGAGATGAAAAGTGGAAGCAAAATTTTAAGTATCTATTTTCCATTCTACCCCATTTAAACCGTTTAAGCCTAAAGCCTTAGCCATCTGTGCTTCAGTCTTCTTCCTCTGCTGCTTTATTTTGGAATAAATTCTTCCGAAATTTATAAATTATTTAAAAGGAAGAAACAGGAATTCATATGGTTTATATTAATTTCATTAGTATTTATATTTTACAACAAATATTGGATAGTAATTTTTAAATCTAATAGTTAAAAGTACTACTTTTTCTAATAGGCATATTTTAAACAGCCTTAAATGTTCAGAACAAAATATTGGTAATTGTTCCGGATTGAATCATTTATAAATATATATGTCTTAGTATGAATATCCCGAGAAAATTTTTTTTTCAGGTGGTAGAGATTTGGGATTTTGAGATTTTTATATACCAATTATTATTAAATTGATGGAGTATACATGAGTATCAAACAGCATCGAAGTGAAAATTCAAACAGCGTTACCTGCAGCTAATTTAATCTCTTCTTGGTGTTACTTCCCAAATTGCTGCCAGCTTATTCTCATGGATAACGGTGAAGATGGTCATTCTATCCCTAGAAATTTTGGAAAAACTCTTTAGAAAATTTATCGCAAAAAAATTTATGCAATTATTTTCATCAAATATATATATGAATATGAAATGATTAATTAAATTAAAATTAATAAGATAAAATGGGAAAAGTAAAATATTTAGTCAGAAAAACAGGTGAACTCAAAAGGTTAATTAAATGGGTTCCATTAAAATTCAAATGCTGATACTGGTCAGAAAAAATCGTCTCTTTGTCGTAGCTTGTCTGATACTTGTTTACAGTTACAGTTTTTTTTCTTTTCTAAACTTACTTTCCTGCCAGTGATCACAAATCATGATCTTTTTTTGATATCGTAGAGTTTGCATAGCGTTAAATTACTTTAATTTTGTTTGGAATCCGTTCAAATTATAAATATGCAAATTTTTCTAAAAAATATGAAGACAGATAGGATAGCTTTTATATAAACTATTTTCGAATTTTAGGTTAAGTATTAATTTTTGGTTAAGTATATTATCACAAAATGATTATTTAGAAAGATAGAAATTATTTAGAAAGATTATTTAGAAAGATAGAACTAAAACGATTATTTTGTGAGACATTACGCGTATTCCACGTGAGATACTACGGAATTTTACGTATTCTCTTTTATCTTTAATATTCATGTGATTTGTTGCTTTTTTCGTGAAACATTTATAGTGATAATTCAAGTTTACAACATTTTACTGCATTTTAAATGGGGAATGATCGTACGATGTGCAAAATGTTCGATCCTTTAGAAACGTTATTTTAGCGATTTATTTTTATATAATAATTCGTTGATCTTTACAGGATAATACAAATAATTCATTAAAAAAAAATTCAAGAAGCTGTTTGAAGTAAGAGATGAGCATCGTTGTGCAAGGAGAAGCACCTGAGCCTAAAAAATTTCGATCATCTCTACCTACTCAGGTACATACATCTTTTATTTCGAATTTTCACGATGATTCTCAATAATTAGAAATTGATCATTATATATAATAGTTATATTAAGATTAAAATTATAATTTTTGAATCAAAGATAAATATTATTTTGTTACGCTCAGTTACACTTCGAAAAAAGATTGAATTTTACAGGTAATTGTGGAAAAGCCAACCTTTGCATACCAAAGCAGTGGGAGCCCTTTGGATGATGCAGCAAATGGAGGTCAATCTCCTGCCGGTCCATCATCTGCCCGTTCATCCAGCTCTACATCATGTGTCAAGGAGGAACGAGAACGAGATGATTTATGCGCAAATGGTAATAGTAATAGCAATAGCAACAATCTATTGTATCCAAGGAGTGGCCAAAGTCTCGTTGATGCATTTTCAACGGCAATGATTTTTCAGGCTACTAATGCATACATGAAAGTATGATATTTTATTTGTCTTATTTCCATTTTCAAAAATTAAAAATTCACATACAAATTTTAAATGCTTATTATTTGAGCAAAAAGAAAAGCATCACTTTTGCGCATATCTTATCATATCATAGAATAAAAATTTCATTCATAAAATAGTTAAGCTCTTCTGATAATTTTGTTAAGTTAAACTGAATGCTTTTACTTTTTCCTTATTATAGCAAATGCAACCAACAAATCAAAAAACTCGTGGTAAATCAGCTACTCCAAATGGTAATTATTTTTATGAAAATTAATTTATCTTTCTATTTTATTTAGTATAAATATAATTTATTATATCAATATATTAAGATTAGAACTTCTTAATTATTTAAAATTCTAATTAATGTATATCTTCTATATCCTTTTTATTTTTTCATCTCTTTTGCAATTAATCTAATATATGCAAATTTCTTTTTTGTAGTACCACCAGGACCACCAATTCCGGGTGCTATAGCAGCAGCATCATCACCAGCAGCTGCATTGTTCAGTGAAGATGATTGGTCTTGGCATCGTAATCCGGCTGCAGCTATTCGAAGTGGTGGAACTAATAAGCAGACTCCGGTTTGGAAATTCTTCGTTTATAACAAAGCTGAAAATTTAAGCAGGTGAAATTTTTGAAGGGAATTTTTTCAAACACTTTTTCATTATAGTGGTTAAAAATCAATTAAATAGAATTAATTGTTTTATAGATGTATTGTGGGCAATTGTACGTATGTATTAAAAGGACCTCATACCAGTACACTTGCCTGTCATCTTAAGAAACATCCACCACAATATGTGGAATATCAAAAATTAAAGGTTAATTAACTTTATTTTGTCTTAAATCTCTTATCTGTAAGTTTACAAATGAATTCTGTACTTTAAGATTTCTATTTAATTGAATATTTTTATGAGTTTAGGATCGACAGCAATCAGTTGTAATGGGTGATGCATATAATTTCAATAATTTTACAAATCATAAAAGTTGAAAATCATTGGTAGTTCGATAGTTTCAGGCTATTTACTCACGTGATCGTTTAAATAATATTAGCAGCAATCCTTCTCAGATGTCAGTTTCACCCGCTCCCGCTTCATCCGGATCCAGTAGCGTTGCACATTTGAACAATTGTAGCAGTCGTATGAAAACAGTTGGAACTAATGGCAACAATGGTAGCGGTAATATTTTGCGAAATCGTGCACATGATGGTTGTTCATCAGGAAATTCATTTAATTCAATCAAACGTCATACATCCATCTCAAATGTTGTTGCTAATTCCGGAAAGCAATCAACTCATAGTGTTAGGTATGTTTCTTTCCAACGGTATATATTTTAAATCGTTCTCAATAAAATTAAATATCATTTTTTTCACATTACATATTTTCACTATAGTTATTTATTTTGAGAGAAATGGAATATTTCTATGTGATCAATGATCTTATAAATTATTGTGAGTTGTAATATGCAAATTAACATCTCTTTCAAGCAGTATATTGGACGTTCTAAATGCAAGGGCAAGTGTAGCAGCTTTAGCCAGTGGAAATGGTCATCTGTTACAAAATCCAATTGCTGCCATTTTCAATAATCCAGAAAAAGATAATGGAAATACCGCTGGCGGTATTAGCAACACACGAAATTCATCCGGAAATTCATCATCAATCAAAAATAGTTAGTTCTTTTTGTTTAAGTTAATGTTTAAAGTTTTGTTATTTTGATGTCATTGTAAACCTTACTAATTTTGTTCATTAAATTATCTCTACACAAACTGTTTCATTATATAATTTCGGGTCGAAAAACGAGTCACAATTGAGTAAGCTTTAGAAGATTGAGAGAAAAGTTTCTTCTACAAAATATACAAAAGAGGATTATGTCTTCGAATATATTCCTATAGTATGCTATAAAAGGAGTTCAAAGGGTCCCTTCTACTCTATGAAATGAAACTTTTATTTCATTGTCATAAGATCTTGTTACGCTAATTATAAGAACATAGAAATGTAGAAAAAGTCAAGTTAATTCAGCCTATCTTCTCACTCTTCAGATAGTTCATTGGCAGATGTGTTGACTGCAAATTTATTAATGGCTGCAAGCAGTAGTGCGGCAAGTAACGCAGTAGCAATCGGTCGAAAATGGAATCGTGAAGATCGAAAGCAGAAAGAAATGGAAGTTAAATTAGCACTAATGCTTTCTGCTAGCCAACTTCCATTAAACATTATCGAAAATTCATTTTTTCGTGAATTCATGGAATATGTTCAACCACGTTTCTCGATGCCACACGACATTAACTATGTAGAGGATGTTAGTGCTTTTACTTTCCGTATCTGACAGTTTTATTTAAAAAGATTTACTTTCAAATCAGCACAATTTAGCGTTGTTACTTTTAGTCATTAGTAAAGCTTAAATTTTTTTCTTTGAAATGTTACTCATTTGTCTTTTCGAGGCTCTTACTGATACAGATATTGCTCTTAGCAGGTGTCTAACTTTTCAGTATATATTTGTTCTATAAAAACAACTTGCAAGGCATATTAGTTTTAAAAAAAAAGAATGCTGAGTAGGGTGGTAACTTCAGATAATCAATACAGAACATTCGCGAACGATTACCAATTTAAAAAATCAACTAAGTACTGCAAAGAAAGTTGCTGTTATGATCGATGTATTAAAATTAAACACATCAACATCCTCTTCTGTACTTTCTGCAAATGTTGTTGATAAGGTATTCGGTGGATCTTTTTTTCAAAAAAAATTCAAATTTTATTTTTTGAAATTCTAAACTAAAAAAATTTTCAGAAATCTAAAACTTTTACTTTTTCTTAAATTATTCAGTGCTAAGCCTATTTATAATACGAGAAAAGAGGAATGAATTCATTTGAGGAAGAATCAAAGGACTTGGAGTCAAAAGACTCGACATCTGTTAATTCGGACAGTGGTTTTGATATATCTGATGAGAATCAGTCTGACACAGAATCCCCAAAATCATCTACCATACGAACGGAAGAAATGCGATTATTGGTTCGACTTTGTATATCCGTTGCCTTCCACAGTCCATTAGCACAACGAGTAGAAGTTGCATTGCTCGGTGTTCGACCACTTGTTGATCAAACAAATGTCGTAGATGCAGTCAAATCTACAGTTGAACAGGTTATTCAAATTCATAATTATTTCGACGTTGTTTTCGTTTCAGCATTCTGGACTTTGTTGAATGAATTTGATAATAAATTACTTCCGGTGAGATTCATTGTGAAGTAACGGTAGTTAATTTTAATTAAAATATTATCAAATCTTCAGATTCTGTTAGATTTTGATGTTACAACCGATAAAGTATCGCGCTATCTCTGTAATGATATATGTGAATTAATTGGAATTAATGTTTCATCAGAAGATGTCTTCCCTCGGATGGTACTTTGATTTTTCCTTCCATACAACTGAAGATAGTGATTAAGTCTGCAATTTTTAATTAATAAAGGAGGTTTTTTCTTTAAAATTAAAAAGAAAAAAGGACTTCAGTTATTTTATGCTTTCTCTTTACCAATATTTCTGATTTTTTGTAAATTAAAATTATAATTAACAATTAATTAAATTCACAGCTGGAACCATACAATCAAAAGTTGACGCAATCTCTGTTGAACGTAATAGATGCAAATCAAGGAATTGAAGAGCTGAAGAAAAGCTTCTATAGCATGATTTTGAATTTCGTGACAAGACCAAATGCTATGCAATTGCTACAACAAGCTGTCGGTAAATTTTAATTTACAAAAACTCTTACGTACTTTTCTCATAAAATTCAGCATAAAGAAAATAAGTGCATTCAGGACGTCCGGTATCAATACCCATCGCGGATTCATTTCTTGTTCTTATTGATGCTATTCTTGAACTCAAAGATGCATTCCTATGTGTTTGTGCGCAGATATCTTTCGAATATCCTGTTGAAACAATCAGTGAATCTCAATGGTAATTATTTGTTTCGGAACTTTTCAATTTTTATCTTTAGCTCATATAAATAATATATTGGGCTCAAGTAAATGAGAAGAAAGATCTGCAACAAATGATTAAGTAGATTGTACTTTAGTGCACTAAAGTAACAGATTAAGATGTCCTCAATGGAAGTTTTTCTAACAAAAAAATAATAGCCATATGTGAAATCTTAAAATTTTTATCTCATCGTTATTTATTAAGGCAAGTTCTCGAAAATGTCTCAAGGCTGTTGCGGCTCTTTAACACCCATATGAACGTGGTACAGGATGGTGTTTATGCAACAATCGATGGTGTTGTTCCATCACTGATGCAGTTGCAAGTTTCTCTTGAAAAAGTGTGTAGCTTTTTATTACTTAAGAGAATGATCTATTGGATGAGAAATAGGAAGAATTATAGAGGGTAATTACACAGTAAATTATAATTTTCATTTGTGCAGTTATGTTTGCTTTTGCGAAAACTTACAAGAAAATATTGCCTCAATGATGGATTGTCTTGACAAACAAATACTCTCATAATACTCACTAATAAAGTCCTATATATTTAGGTAATCACACTGAATTGTTTTATTAGAATCATATGTTCAAAGATAAACAAAAACTTAATGCTGTGTAAAATATTTGAAATATAAAGTAATTCGTTGCATAAGCAACTCTAACAACGACGGTACTTAGACAAAAGTTGATGTTGAGAGTAATTAATTCCAATTTCGCATATTTGTTTTTCAGTCAGCTTTGAGTTCTTTCTCTCATTGTTACTCGTTTTCTGATAACATTTGATGAAGTCTTGTAGATTTACTCCTTGAATTTGAATTTTTATAATGAAGTTAACTAAAAAGAATGAATGGAAATCTAATTAGCAACTGATTTGTATTTCAATAATTTTTTCGGACATTTCATCTCAATTTTTTCTGACTGAAATTATTTTCATCAAATCTATCACATGCGGTTGTAATTGATTATAAAAATCTCAATAATTTATTCTTTGGTTTAGGATGTATGAGGTTTGATTAGCAAAAATTAAAGAATCACTCTCTGAAGTTAAAAGCGTTAGGCTCTTATAGTGAAGTGAGCTGTGCAGCCAACAACACATTAAATTCATAGTGTGCCAAATAATAAACTGAGTGCAAAGCAAACATATTTCTTGCTAGATTATAAAGTTTATATGTGAATTGAAATTTAAATTCCAGATCAAATTAGAATCATCAAATTCCAGGATTTTATTGCTCTTGGGAATTTAGCAACTCAGTTGAAAATAGACTTACAAAAACGTACGGCGTCAATATTGGACATTACTGCTCCTGATTTTGATGGAACATTCATTCAAGCAACAGCGTTGAATCCACATTTAGCTCTATTGTTGGATGATGAGCAATTAGCGTATGCCAGGAATGCTATCGAACAAGAGGTATTTTAAGTCAATGAAAAACATTTGTATGAACTTTTCTCAGTTTTACTACATTTCGGAATGAAGAAATAAAAAAAGATGAGGGTGATAACTATGGTACTTGAAATTAATCATAAGATTATCTTCGGCAAAATTGAGAAATTCAAATGGAAAATTAAAATTATAAAGAATATGCACTTAGCCCTCCAACATTTTTTTTGGAAAATCACTCAAAACTGCTTTGTAGAGTTATGAAGAGTTGAAGGCTCGATGAACACACAAAATTTAGGTTTTAAGATCGTAAAATACCTAGATCCTAGAATTTGGAATGTTTAAATTTTAAGATTGGAATATTGTGTATTAATTTGTAGTTAAACGAACGTATGAGGTTGGCGGAAGAAGTAGTGGCTCGTCGTACTGCACGATTAAATGGTGGCGTTGATGCACTTCTTGCAACAGTAACAGATCGTGCAGCTGCTGCTTCGTCATTGGCAACAACATCCGTTATGAGTAGCAGTAGTTCAAGAAATAGCAGCAGGAATATCAATAATATTGCAAACAGCGATACATCACTTTCATGTCAAAATATTACAAGTACTTCGCTCTATCCAGATCTTATTCATGCTGCAAATGAACGACGAAAAATGATGAAGGTATTGTTAAGGATTACGAAATTTAATCCATTTAAATTCGATTAACTTCATCTTTTCGAAATCCTAGTATTCAAATCATTGAAAGTGCTAAATTATAATGGTTTATAATAATTAAATCAGAGAATGGAAAGAATTGCTGTTAAATTTGATTATTTAAAAATTTTTGCTAAAATTAAATAGTTTTGATAAATCTGCAAGGTTTGCATTTCCTCCTAAAATTTGAAATGAGATAATTCTTATGAAGAATTGATTAATTTAATCACTATACATGCTATGTAGGGATTAATGGCTCCGATCTTAAATTGATATTGAATTTATTAAAATTCTAGGAAAGGCAGCAAGCTGCTGCTAAAAACCGTTATGCCGAAGCAATTGTACAGTCATATTTCGATGAACTTGCTGTGAGTTTTTTGTATTTTTGAAATACGTGAATTATCAATTTTAATTGGGCGTAAAAAATTGACATAGCTGTGATCGCAAAGCCTCTTAAAATTTTCATATCCGAAAAGTTGCCATCAGGGAACAATTTCTCAGAATTTGTATATTTTTGAATTTTCTAGTTATCAATATATTCTACCTGAATTTCAGGCTGGAACTAATCAAACATCACCATCACCACTTGCAGTTGCGACAGGTGCGCTTCCAATAACATTAAACGGTCGAAATTTAGCACCACTGCAGTACTGGCAATTCAACACCGTTAAATATGGACTCCTAGCGGAAATAGCTACCGAATTACTGACAATTCCTTCTTCTACTGTTTCACTGGAACGAATTTTTGCAACCTCCTCACCAGATGCACAAAACGGAAATGGTGCTGATATAAATAATGGTAGCACAAGTTGTGTTACCTTTGATCCTATCACATTGATCAAAACAATTGATGAACCTACACGAATGGAACGTGATGCAATGCTTCGCTTCAATCGAGCATTAATACCCCGGTTCTAAATAAAAATTAATGTCGTGAGCTATTTTGTTTATTTTCAAGAGTTCCGAATCGAAATATATTTTTAATTTCTTATTCTATAGGAACTGTCATAGATAAATTGTTGCATTGATCCAGGATATTTCACATTTCGAATGGCACTTTTGGTATTGATTGGCCAAAATGAAGGTACCCAATGTGGTTCTGTTTCCAGTTTCCTAATTACTTCCTTAAGTTCTTCCAGTGATCGATCAAGATCAACGTTCACTATTATTCGGTCG